TTCTAACTGATTTTTTTATTCTAGCTCAATAGCGACCAATGTGACGCTTGTCGAGGATATGGAAGATTTCTCTGTTGTGAGTCTTGTCCAAGAGCTTTTCATTTTTCTTGCTTGAACCCACCACTTGATATCGACGAAGCTCCTGAAGAGGCACACTGGTATTGCAACGCTTGTAAATCTCGAAAGGTTTGTGATTTGTTTACATCTGCTTCGTACTTCAGTGATTTTGTTGTGTTTCCGATGACCTGAGTTATGATTTATTTCAGATACCCCCGCAGAAATCCAATGTGCCATTGTTCGGTCCACTGATAGATTTATTAAATCGTTCTAACCCGATTTCGTTTCAACTGACTGATGAAATAAAGCAAAGGTTCTCAGGAGGTTAATATTGTTTGATTCTCTTTAAATTTCTTGTATTATGTATCTTAACAAAGCTATGCAGTGTCTACGAATCCCCACTCTGGAGATTATATCGATACGAAAGACCTCAAAATACCGAAAAGGTATATTTGTTAGTTCAGTTTAACGATAGTTACTCCCTGATACTGATTGCCTTTTGGCTACAAAGTTCTCGAAGCGGTCAACCTTTGGAAATTGACTATGCTCGGATATACGGTGACGATAACAAAATCATCCTTTGTTTTAAATGTGGATTCTCAGCACGTCGAGGTAAAATCATCGGTTGCGACCATTGTCCGTTGTACTGGCACTGGGACTGTCTCGATCCTCCATTGGTCCATCCGCCACCTGTGAATAGGAAGTGGATGTGTCCAGCTCATGCATCCCATGACATGGTATATTTTTGCCTTTTTTTGCATTCCCATTCAATCACAACTGTCGTATTAAAGATATTCTCATTTTCCGATGTAGCCCAAAATACGTAAATTCGCTGATCAACCATATTTGGATATCTTTCCAAACGCTTCATTCAATTTCAACTCCGATCCATCATCTTCATCTTCATATCCGTCGCTGAACACGTATTGCGTTCCTCCTAACTTTGGGGATATTGACATAGCTTTGGAGCCTAAAAAGGTGTTGGAAATTGGTGATGCTTTTGTAGTTGACGGTACGACGTATAGGTTGCCCGAAAAATCGGTGAAATTGTCCTTTCTGAGTAAAGTTCGTGGGTGAGTACAACGGTTGCGCGACTTGTCGACATACAGTCATATTAATTGTAGCTTTATTATAGATCTGAGATGGTTCCACTGCCATCGTCGGACTCTATAGATTCCACCATAAAGCACGACACTACGGATCCGCCAACAACCGACGAAATTCAAACCGTAAGTCTCGTTGTATTTTGGTCTTTTTGTATCACATTTCAGGCCTCGTTAACGATTAAATTTTAGTGGCTATCCTCTCTTGCAATGTTCCAGCAAGAACTCGCTCAATATTTATGTCAGCTACACCCAACTCAAGAGTCCCAAGTGACTTCTTCTGACACTCCTATACCATCGTTGCCCCCGCCTGGCGATCACGATATTCCTTTTGCGTTGTCCACGGGGTCTGTCGACGGATTGTCGACGTTATGCAATATTGCAAAGGTATTTTACTCTAAATTCTGATCTTATTCGTGTGTTTTTGTGTCTTCCGATATGTAATGTGTCATGTTCATTTTGTGGTCTGCTCTAAATTATGATGTCATCTTTTCGTTTGTATCTGTATTTTGGTGTTCAAGGGTGTCGATCGCGCCCATAAGTCTTCGTGTCAGTCCCTTTCATCTTTTGATACTCACACCGATACTCCTTCGTCTTCACATCCATCTCCCCCTCCGTCTGTCACCGTAACATCATCTACCGATTCCCATCTTTCTCAATCATCTACGGCCATAAACCGGGAACCTTCTCCAACACGACCATCCGTCTCATCAAAAATCGTTGACGTTCCGCCACTTTCTGCTCCACTTTCCAGTCAACCGAATATCGCTTCTTCATCCCCGAACATTCTCGGGCCGTCATTAGAAAGGCGGAAGTTAATCGTGAAATTGACGCCTTTGTCCCCCGGAACGCCGAGTAGTCCTAATTCAAATAGGGAATCGAGGAGCAAGGAAAAGAAGGGAAAATAAAGAAATGAGTTGTAATGATTTAAATGGGAAGTACAGTCAAAAAAGTTATTTTTTTGGGGTTGGTCGAGGTGATTGGAACCAGTTGCATTATAATTGATGGCTATTCAGGGGGGATCTATTATCTTTCTGCGACAGACAACGCATAGCTCAACAATACGTAATACAATTTTTGGTGTGGCAGTTTATCCTACAGCTGTGTTCATCATTTATGTATTTGGCAGAATTCATTCTTCGTGCGACTAAGTCGACCAGATTATAAAAGAACCAAATATAAAATTTTATATACCGAAGGTATTAAATTCTAACTTGGAGTAATATCTCCGAATTGTATTTTCAACTTGCCGGTAGTTGAAGGATTTGGCCGTTGATGGTGAATAGAGTTGCCGATCAGTCTCAGCCACACTTGAATAAACAAGGTTGATTTGCATCCTTCGTATCTGCTATCCACTTCCTCGTACAGATATAATTGACAGCGTCATGGTTACTGAAGAAACGTCTGCTCCGTTCGACCTATTAGATACTCTTAAGAATGATAAGAAACGATTACAGGTGTCGGATTCTAGCTCTGAAGTCAACGATTCGAACGAAAGTACGAAACGACCGAAACTGGATGATGATCAACTAGATTCGAACGGTGATGAATCCATAATCCGTAATGCTACCAATACTAATCAGATTGAAATTAATGGGGCGAATAATCCTGTCAATACACAGAGTCCACCGGTACCAGATAATAGTAATGCAGATCAGAACAACAGCGGTAGTTTTTCCCCTTTGCCAATTCATAGATTCAAGGGTATTCTGTTATAGTGTATTCTGTATTCTCATGCATTTCAATCATCTATCTCTACTGAAATTATAGACAACTGCAACCGAAATGCCATAACTTTACAAACGACGGGTGACCTCATCTTGAACTCAGACTCTAACGACAATTCAGAATCCGCCAATGCAAGGGAAAATAGTGACTCTTCCCAGATTGAATGCACACAGAATGCAAATTTTGATGCACTTACAAAATCTTTTGCACCTCAATCTCTTCATGAACCGACGACAACTCTGTTTATTGCTAACTTAACTCGTACGTACTCTACTTGACAGCCTGTCCTCAATGAGTCGGCTCTCGATTGACAATCCTTTCAAATTTGAATTGTAGGCCCTTTTACCGTCCAAGATCTTACCGATATACTTACGACTCCACCTAATATGACACCGCATGATTCTGAAAAGTTTCCCTTGGTTTCGCTCAAACTAAATCATATTAAATCTCACGCTTTCGCAACCTACACATGCATAGAACATGCCGTGGCTATTCGAAATCATTTGAGTCATCAAATCAAGTTTCCGCCAGAAAGTCAAAACCCTCAATCTAAGATTTTAGTTATTGATTATGCTCGCACCGAAGTTTTTCAAAATCTACTCAACCGAGAAGAAATGTTGAGAGGCAGAGGAAGAAAAGCTGTGTTTGTTTACCGAAAAGTGAATGCACCGGTTACTTACGATCCAACTCAAGCGACTGGCAGCTCGAGTGGGGCAGATAATGCTGGTCGACCTGAGATGAGGCTAGTTTTGGTTGAGGTGTATTCCAACAAAAATTTGAGTGACCTCTACGAAAATCAAGATCTACTTTCATCATTGCCCGATGCGAAAAGTTCCAATGAAACAACATCTGTGAAACGACATTCCATAACACCTTCAATAGTGTCTTCGATTCCACCAACTGTCAAACCTGAACGTACAGTTTCTTCACTACCACCGCCGTCACGATCACCACCTGAAATATATAACAATTTGCCCAATATGTACCGATACACTACCAATCCTCGAATCTCCACTATTTACTGGAAGCCATTAAACGACGGAGAGGTAAAAGATCGACATCGACTCGATTATGCTGATGCTGATGGGTCGAGAAAGAAGAAGCGAAAGATAATGTACCCGTTTGTCTACGAACGCAGAGTTAGAGAGCCCATAAGGACGAGAACGGGTTCAGAATATGACAGACGGGACGGTGAATACACACCGAACCCACTTCGGCAGGATGTGAAACCTTCCCAGCATTCCTCATCGCACGAAATTGACAAGACAGCTTCATCCAATGCAACCGGTGATAATATGGCTGAATTGCAACGTCTCAAATCTACTGTTCTCAAATCCATTGATGCTCGTGCCGAAAGTCAAGGTAGAAGTCAGTCAGGGAATTCGAAAGACGACGACATGGGAGACTATGCGAATACGCATCGTGAAGCCGATTTGGATCCATCTGCTGGGTTGGAAGCATCTGCCAGTCTTAAGCCTGACTACAATGACGACGTAGCGCAGCAAGAACATTTACCGCCGCAGGAGCCTCCGGTTCATACTGATTCTCGGCCACATGAATCAGAGTACCACTACTCGGAGCAAGACTATTATTCTGCCAATCCCCAAGATTACACGGATCAAAATTATACCCAAGATTACGACCAATCCGGATACTACGATCCATCTCATCATCAATATAACTATGATTACGGACACAACTACGAAGGACACGGCTATGATCGCCAATATACGTATGGCACGTATGATTATGATCACGGGTATTATGGTGCTGGTGCTTCGTATGGTAGAGGTCGAGGTAGGGGGCGAGGTAGAGGTCGAGGCAGAGGATACTGGAGGGGAGGTTGGTAGAAGACACTCCCATGGATCTTTAATTAATGAAATAGACTAGCGTTTGTCGTCTTTTTGCGTATGTATTTACAATATTTCTGACACTCTCCCAAATAAAGCAATGTGAAATACAAATGAAAGCATAAAGGCGTTCTTACTATACCATCGACGTGAACCGTCAATGTCACAATGCAGGAGTGAGTTCGTTAACCAGTATTTAATGGGCAATGTTGGCAAAAAAATATTAAATACAAGGATTACTAGACGCATGAATTCCATTGAAGACAGCATGTCCGAGTGGTTAAGGAGTAAGACTTGAAATCTTATGGGCTCTGCCCGCGCAGGTTCGAACCCTGCTGCTGTCGGAATATTTTTATTTTTTGCCTTAATCATGGGCTCATTTGGGATGAATGTAATAGTATATTATCACATATTCACTTCTGGAAGTTTTATTTTTATTTTTTTGAATTCTATGTCTGATGGAGGAAAGATTCGCGGCATGTCCAAGAGTTGGAATGTGTGTTTCGCGTTTTGGATCAAACTATCTTGTCCATTTCATACGTGATCTTAGCAGTTCATACCACGTATGAAATGGACAAGATAGAGAATCTTTAAGCTGCATAGTTTATTATGTGATATGTGTGGTGTTTCTGCTTCATACAGAACCTGTAGTGAGGTTTGATGTGCTCTGAGGTTGGGAGGTAAGAACTATGAAGGGGAGCACTGTCCAATAAAGAATCTCTGTACAGCTAGAAAGATAATGTGTTATCGACATGTTGTGTGTTTATATCGACGTTATGGTCATTTGTTGATGAAATTGGAGATCAGCCATTGAGGGGGTGAATTTGCTTGAGGGTGGACTATTTGAGAAGGCCAGGCAATTGAGGCAGTCCGAGCCGGAGCACAGAAATTATGTCAAGTGGGTTAAACCGTTAAACGCCAACAGATTTTGAGAGTTGAGCAACTGCGTCTGACTGTGCCCAGTGCCGCTTTAAAATCCTTGTGGCAGGGTTGATTATCCGCCGACCGCCACCGTCATAAGTATGCTGCCGTCAACCACATCAATACTAGCTCCTTCCCAAATTCCCAATCCAACGTATTTTACCGAACGGATAACTGAGCTAGACAGAGGGGTGACAACAGACTATAATTTGCGGAAATTGAAAGATTCAAATAGCTATATTGCAAATGCGAAGACTGTGATTAAACTGGAAGCTTCTGAGGTGCATATGCATGTCATTGACTTCTCGCCCGAGCGCAGCAGCTCTCACTGCAGAATCTAACTGCAGAGCAGCAATGGAAAAATAACACGACAACATTTGTGTGGGAGTAGCCCAACAGATAATGTAATGGCATACCAGCATGCGACTGACGATTTTCTCTTGGAAACAAATAGAACGAAATGGAAAGGAATGGAAGCAGTTGAGCGTGTCGAATGTCCGCAGGTCCACATAAGGGCAAGGGGCGACAACTCACATCACACATCCTCTTCTGAAGTTCTGAGCCGTGCACACTATCCCACAAGATGCACAGCTATACTCGCAAGTGTAGTGCAAAAAGAGGAATAGAGTATGTATTGATGAGATGTTGCGTAGCATGTAATGATGTAAGGATGTGGAATTGTAAGGAACAAAGCCACAGAAAGAGCGTATCCCGTGTCACGTGACATAAAACCAAGTGTGGCGCAACACAGCTGCAACCAGACTCCCTCGCTGTCCAAACAAAAACCCAATTCCCGCATTCATCATTCCTCCCACATCAAATCATCGCACCATCTCTGCCTCTTATCTGACTACCATCATCCCACTACGTATGAGTAAAGCTGCCATGAAAACGGTCGGCTCAAAGCGTCGCAGGAAAACCACCTCCTCATCTGCATCGTCGACCTCTTCGACTGCAATTGCCGTCCCAGCTCCTCCACCAACTATCTCTACTGTTCCTGCTCCCTCCCTCATCGGAGTGACCAGTCAGTCAGTAGTCAATCCTATTAGTTCCACTAATCTGACAAGGCCGAGTTTAGCAGCTGCGAAAAATGTGCCTGCTTTTCTGAATAAGCTCTATCGGTATGAATCTCTATCATCTCCTGTAGATTGCAGAAATGATAGTTCAGAGAAATCCGGTCGCTCAACAGTTGACCTTGCCTAAAAATTTAATCAGATTGAGAGTATTTTTTAGCTAATAATCATATTCTTCCAATGAATTGATATATTGTAGGATGGTAAACGATTCATCAACTGATCAGCTAATACGTTGGTCCGATGACGGAATGAGCTTCTTAGGTATTTATGCCCAATCTATCCTTTTTTAACATCCTTCGTTTATCCTTTGTACATGCATTCTGACCTCTTTTGTCGCTGCAAATATAGTGCTCAACCAGGAGGAATTTGCTAAGGAGTTGCTCCCACGGTTTTTCAAGCACAATAATTTTTCCTCGTTCGTTCGACAACTCAATATGTACGGCTTCCACAAAGTACCGCACTTGAACCAAGGTGTATTGGTATCAGACGCTGACAGTGAACAATGGGAATTCACCAATCCACATTTTCAGCGGAATCAGCCAGACCTTTTATGCTTGGTAACCAGGAAAAAAGGCAAAGATGCAGACGAGAAAGGGGACGGGTTAGATATTGGTCATTTCCTGTCCGAAATTGCCACTATAAAACGACATCAGATTACGATTTCGTCGGATTTGAAAAACATTCAGCGGGATAATCAAGTTCTCTGGCAAGAATTAGTATCCACGAGAGAAAGATACAACAAACAGCAGGAGACGATAGACAAAATTCTGAGGTTTTTGGCATCGGTCTTTTCAAGTGAAGGAAAACCCAAGGCTATTCAAAATAAGAAAAGGAAGTTACTAGATTTTCAGCAGTCATCTTCAGAAGACGAGGGCGATGACCTTCCTACAGCTACCATTACACAATTGCCATCCGCAACCACTCCGACATCAAATCAACCACCAATATGTAAGTATTTTAAACCCTGCTGTTTCTGGGCTGTTGCTAATATTCTCTTTTATGAACTCACAGTGGAAGTCCCTGATTTACCAATAATTCACTCTACAGCATTTGATACGATAACCACTCCAGTTCTTGATCCAACGACCACTTCAGCACTCATTACTATTCCCACTGCCGGCACCTCCGCAACTTCATTCATCCCGCTACCTGCGCCTACAGATCCCGCTCTTTCTACTGTCACCAACAATCTTGGAACGACGACCTCTAATTTAAATAATACCACCACGTCAGTCGAACATGTTCAGAAAAATATCGATCAGTTGCAATCAAATCTAGATTCGTTAATGACTAATTCCCTCGGGATTCACGAAGTCAAGGATTTAGAGCATTTGAGTCTAGAAGACTTGTTTGCGGGGATAGACGGTATGCATCAACCGAAAGAAGTCGTTGCGCAATTGCTTGCGAATGATCCTTCATCATTTTATCCATCTGTTATTTCTTCCTCTTCCCCAACTTCCTTGGCGGCTTTCAACCAAACCTTGCTACCAGCCGTTGACCTTTCACCTTCTCTTATAAATGCTACCTTACCTATGACGTCCGTCGCTGATTTTCCAACTACAACGCTAGCATCTACAGCATTGGCCGCATTACAGAATACTTCTTCCTCAACACCGAATTTACCGACGTCGTTACCACTTTCACTGCCATTGGATCAATCAATCATGACTTCGCTACCCACAGCTCCTTCTTCTGGTGGTCCCGTGCCGGCAATGCCGTTATTAACGTCAAATATAGACTCCACGGCCCCGACGACGCTGCGAAATGGAGAAGATATGTCGTCGTTTTTCAATGTTGATTTTTCAACTTCACCAACGAATTCTGGATTTGAAATGCCGAAATTAAACGGAACCTTGGTTAACGGTGATTACGGAAAGAAAGAAATAGAAGAGGCGGACAGTTTGCTGGAAGATGGATTGTTTGAAGACGATGAACCCGGTGACGATGACGACGCTGATTATTAGTAAATAAAATGGAAGGTGTTGCGGTTGTCACACGGGTATGGTGATTTAACACGTCATATGGCTCGAGCAAAGGGGTTACCATGAAAGAACGTTATGTTGAATTCATTGGCGATTAATGTTTACGTAAAAAAAATCTATGTCGAACGGCTGGTCTGTGGAAGTCATAACCGTATTTGATATCAACCTACATCCTTTCTTGATGCCAATCGGGTGCGAAGCAAAATCTAAATACCGATAAGTAATGGGATATGCTTAATTGTTTTGCGGAAAAAGTAAGGGAAAGCGATTCTAAATCGACTGATTTGTATAATGTATATTTCTTGTATTATCACATGCGTATGGAAGAGACATGATGCTGAGTGTTGAGTGAATATTTCTAAGTCACCGTGCTTGTTACAGTTGATCTCCACATTGCACAACTTTTTACATGAACGCTGAGGACAGCTTATAAGTTACTACACCATTAAACAATATACATATAATACGAGACAACGCTTCTACAATGATCATTGAGATTGTAATTTTTATACAAATGATATAGCGAAGAGATATAATGTAACCCCAGAAAAAATTGAGTTTACTCCAAATCATCTAACCCTTCTAAATCATCTTCGTCTTCATCAACGTTACATGTGCGAAAGCAATTTTCAACGACCAAGTTCGTAGCCTTCACTTCTAAGTTTGATAAAGCGAAGTCCGGCGGTAATTCCTCTATGAGGGTTGACAGAACAGATTCATTGTCCGAACTCATTATATTTTCACTTTCGTGAACCTCCAAAAGCCCAGTATCGGGACATTTGTCGGTTTTCGTACCGTTATCTACTGACGATTCTAAATGAAGTTTGTCTGTCGACATTGTGTGTATCTCTGTATCTTCAAATCCAGTGACTTCGATACTTATTTCACAATCGTCTATTTCAGACTCGAACTCCACCATTTCCGTTATGTCAGAACTCAAAGCACCTATAGCTTTGATTTTGTCATCGGTTTTTGAGTTCCGAGTCACGGTAGTGACTTCGATTTCGGAACCAGCACAAACCGTTAATCCGGAAACTGGGTCAGTGTTTTCATTGATCGCCGCTAGAGTGTCCAGGTATCGAAGAAAGTTATTGCAATCCATGACGCCTCTTTGAATTTCTATAATAAGTCCGTTAAAATTTACCATTCTAAATAAATATTTTCAAATGTCAAATTGAAGACATACTGGCACAAAATTCATTCACAACTCGGCCCCACAAGGAGTTGGTTCTCAATAACCTTCCATATCCAGTGATAATTAAGTGACGCTTGGCTCGTGTTAGTAACACATTGACTCTCTTGGTATCGTCAGAGAACCCGATTGAATGAGTCCGAGTGCACGAGACGATGATGACTGATTTTTCG